GCGCAGTCATGAAAGGAAAGAAAATCTCTCAGTTTCAAACAGCGATTCCCCTTCCAGAAGATGATTGTTGGGAGGATGTGGAAGATGAGGAAGTAGAATGGTACACATCAGACCAGACTATCATTAAAAACAATGAAAAGATATTGGAGTGGAAACGACAACATCAAGAAAGAAATCAAGAAAGCAGGGGAGGATGTAAAACCTGGAAGGAGGCTACTGTAAGAGACCTTTATAATGAACTTGAATATGTCTCAAGGATGGATCCAAGAAAAAGAAATGAATACTTTACAACAAACGGGTGGAAATTTGATTTAAACTCGAAAACCCAATGACACTTTTAATTTTATATATTTTGGACTAGGTTTTGAACTTAGGAAAAAGTGTCCAAAGCCTGTCCAAAAATATCCATAAATTATCCATAATCTGACATTGTTTGATAGTTTACGCTATGAAATTATCAACATCAAAGGAAATTCAGAGGCGATATTGTCAAACACAAGAATTCATGAACTATGATTGGCTTGAACCATCAAGTTCACACCACGAGAATAAAAACCGGAGTCAAATGATTAGTTGTCGTGGAAATTGGAATCAATTATCGAATCTTTTTAGATTTTCCTTATAAATGAACAGCCTGACTTCAAATCACTTTCTAATTTTAGAAAATTATTTGAGTCAGATTATTGTAAAAAACGAGCGTATAAATTCATAGTGGCATCGTTAAGAAAATGAAGAAACAATCATTCAATTGGATTATAAAAATAGAGAACATCGTGAATATATATTAAAAATTTGAATGAGTACAATTTATTAAAGAAAAAGCTGGCTGATTAAAAAATAATATTTTTATAAGTTGATTAAAAAATAGTTTTATTAATTTGTAATTTTGTATTGATTTAAATCAAAAGTATTGTATTTATGTTAATAAAGTATGTTTATATAAATGCTAAAGTTTAATAATACTATAAAGAGTGTAAAATATCTATATTATATTACTAAATTTAATTATAATTCTGACTATTTAAGTGATGTTTATAAAAATTATTATAATATTATAAATGTACTAAATATATGAAAGATTTAAATATTTTTTTATTTCTTATTTATATTACAATTTGTATTTTATAACTCTAATCATTTTTAGAACTTTTTAAAAATTATGTTCAATGATTTTTTAAATACCACCCCATTATAGTTTGTGATTAATGTATTACTTTATTAGCAATATTAAAGATATATATAAATTATTAGGTTAACAAATGCAATTAAAATTTAAACAATTATATAATATAACAAATCTAAATAGAAACATTCTTTTTGTTTAAACAATATAAGAATATCTATTTCCTTTACAATTTTTATATTATGCAGTATATTTCCTTACATTATGTTCACCTTTAAGACAATTTTAATATGTATATCCATCCTTTTTAAGACTTTTTAAACTATTATTTCAATCTTTTAATAGGTTTTCTTTTTGAATTTACTTGTAATAAGTTTAATATTATATTCTATATTTGATTATTTATAGAATCTATTTCACTTTAAATAATTATGCAAAAAAAAGTATTAATATTTAGAATGCTTTACCTATTAAGTTAAATCTTAAAAAATAGCTGCAATAGGTGTTAAATTAAATTCATTTGCTAATAATGCTAATTTTCACCTTATTGAAATACATTCATTATAAATTGTTTCTTTACAATTGTATGTTATATCTCAAAATCTTGATTTAAACAATCTTTTTAAAATTTAAAATTTCATTCATAAAAATTATAAATAAATCTTCAATCATATTTTAATTATATATTATAGAAAAATCTTATATAGTATAATTTTTATATGTTAATATTTTATTTTATATCATCAACTTTTTATCAAAATAATAGCAAATTTTGCATTTATGTATATAATATTACTTAAAAAATGATGACAAAATAATTTCTTAATTAACTAAAAGTAAATATATATAAATATATAAATGATCTTAATATAATATAACATAATTAGATAATGATATATAAATACAATATTAATCATAAGAAATTAGCTTTGAATAATATTTAAAGTATATATTAATTTAAGCTTTGGAATATAAAAACCTTATATATTAAAATATTTCTATAATTTTTAAATAAATTAAATTGCTAATAATAAAGCTATGCTAAAAAGTAATTTAGTTAAGTAATCCTAATATTATATTTTTTATTTGATTAAATATAATGTAATTCTTAATATAATAATGCATTTGAATAATTCTTCAAATTGAAATTCAAAGATTACTTTAGATAAAGTATTATAATTTTGATTGAAATTCAATATATTAAAATCCAAATAGTTGCATAAGATATTTATAATATTTAAAATATAAATACCTGCTAAAAATTTCTCAAAATAATTTCATCATACCCTTTTCTATATTTTTAATATAGCTTTAACAGTTTAGTTTTTATCATATTAGAAGAATTTTATCATATCTCTTATTATAATTTTAATTTAGTTTTATCTAAGTTTAAACTATTATTAAGAAATTTCATCTCTCATCTATAATTTAAAATAATATAAAAAACATAGAATAAATATAAAGTAAATAAAAAAAAACTAGTTTTAATTACTAGATTTAACCCTATATTATAATCAGAATAAATTAATGATTTAAATTATTAACTATTATTAAAAAGTGTTAAAAACCTATATATAATAAAGTTATTTTATTATATATTATTACTTGAGCTATTAATCATGATTAATAATATTTATTAACCTTTACAAATAAATATAATAATAATAATACTTATTAATCTAAGCTATATTATCTATTAATAATATTATAATATCTTAAATAATTAAAATAAATGATAAAGTTAATTGTTAATATAGTGGTATAATATATATATCAGATTTTCTTTTTTAAATTTTTGTAATTTATTAAGAAGATTAAATATATTATTATCAAAATCCTATTTAATACTATTATCTTATTCTTTCAAAAAAATACTAAATAGAATTAGTTAAGTCTTTATTTAAAAAGCTGTTTTTTAATTTACTAAGAAAAAGTTATTTGAAAATATATTAGTTAATTCTATGTATTATATTTAAATAATATTTTATCTTATCTATTACTTTCTAAAAAAGTTGTCAATATACATTAATAAAATGAACAATCTTAAGTAAATAACTATAATATATAAAATTCATTTTAGTTATAGATAAATATAATTATTTAATTATTTATTATATATTAATAAAATAAGTACAATCTGTCTTAATTAATTCTCTATTACATTTATTAAAGAATGAGTAGTATTTTTTTAACTAAAATATTTTAGTATACTATATTTAAATACATACTTATATACTCTTTTATCTTTATTAAAATATTTTTCTTATAATCATTATATAAACCAATCTGATATCTATAACAGAAATAAATATATATGATTTTAATTATTAAACTGCATTTTAATATATAATTTAGATGATATCTTATAGATAATATAATATCAGATATAGTAAGTGATTTAATAAGTGTTTTTAATATTCATTATATAAAAAAATAGAAAAGATAAATATTTATTAAAAATATATATCTTCAGAATCTTTTTCATATTTTTGTATTAAAGTCTAAAATCTAAATATTAAATGCAAAAAAATGTAAGGTAAGTATAAATTATAAAGTTATTAACATTACTTATTAATGAAAACTTACTAACAAAAGTTTAAATAAAGATAGTATTATTTTAATATTATTAAAATGTTAATAAATGTGAATATTATTACAAAGAAACTGTTTTCTTTTTAATAAAGTAACAATAAATAAAATATAAGAAAGTCAAATTTTTGTAGAAAAGTTACAAAAAAAAAGAGATGTGAGAAAGTAGAATAGTAGAATTCAGAAAAATAGTTTATTTTATTAATCAATAATTTTAAACAATTACTACAATGTAAATCATGTAATTATATCATAGATGATGGTTAATAAAATTAACAAAATCATTAGGAATAATTTAAATAAAAGGTCTTATTTTTATTTTATTTTGTTTTATATTTTATATAAATTGCATATTTTTTAACAATTTTAATTTATTTATCGCCGTAAAACAGAAAGTGTTAATATCAAAAAGTATTAGTAAATTTACATATCATTTCACCCAAAAATATTAAGTTTAGGGACAGGTTATCAATCTTTTTTTTTTGTTTAATTTAATGAATAAAATTTTCGCATGATTGTAAACTTATGTTGACTTTATACCACCTAATTATGAAAAGTGCCATATTATCTCCCTATTTACTCAAAATATATGGCCAATATTAAAATATAGTGATTTATCATACAAAAAGACATAGTTGTTATTAAACCTTTAATGCCTTTTTTTAGCAGCATTATTTTTGATATTTCAATAAATGATAAGATATTTAAAAGCAAAACCGTTTCTTTAAACTTTAAGTAATGAACAATCCATAAATGTTCTTAAGTGAAATTAGGTGTCGACCATAATATTGGGAAATTAAAATATTTATGGACAAAACAAAATATGTATATAGAAATCTCATGTTGGGTGTATTGTTATCTCGATTATTATTGTGTTGAGCTTATAATGATATATGCGAAGTGTATTCATTATTCAATTATTTTTTATTTTGTAATATTCGAATAAGAGAATAGGATTAGATATAGATACATTACACTGTTCTAAAATGCATAAGCACTATATAACATTTGCTGATAGCAATGGGAAGCCAATTCAGAAAATCTTCATGCGTTTAAATCACATGAAGCAGCTCAATTGCGAAACTTTATTGCGCAGACTTTTATTAATACTTAGCTCATGATCATTTATCATTATCCTGTGTTAACCCGATTTTAAACCGAAACCCAGTTAACCAAACAACGATTAAATCTAACTAAGGCCTGTCCATCCTAAGTAAGATTTATACAACTATTTACTTTATACGATTCTTTATGTAGTTGGTTATTAGTCAGTCTATATGGAGACACGATAAAGTTTGAAAATGTAACGTGGGAATTTTATTATCGAAGATTTCGGACGTCTCTTCTCAAGACTCATCAATCTTATTCTTTGAAGGTGTGAAGGTGGAATCTATTAACTCAAGATTTCGAACATCTCTCGTCAACCTTATTCTTTGAACGAAGCGGATTTTCGGGATTTATGTACAAAATTTCTAAATACTAATTTTTTCTATAAGATAACGAATATATCAAAATAAATAATATAACAATATATTATAATAAATTTAATAAATATATATGATATAATAAAACAATATAAAAACGAAAACTATTATATATAAATGACATTATCGACATTTTCAAAATTATTACGCAGCTACTGCGCCATTCGTGCATATATATTTATTTTCAGAATCAAAATTTTTCTTTTTTTAAAAAGTTTCAACCTAACCTTTATTTGTCTTGCTTCTCCTGAAGATCATAATATAATCGACCTTAATTATTGATAAATCAAATTTTCAAATACACATTAAAATTATAAAGTAAATAGATGAACATGCCTATTGTAAAAGATAAAGATCAGTGATTGGTCATATATGAAGTTTATTTAACTAAAATTTTTTATTTAAATAAATTTCGATATATCGAATTTCACTACATATTTCAATAAATTATATAATAAGGAGAATATTTTTGAGGTGGATGATGGATTACAAAGTTTTTATTTCTTTCGCATCCAATCAAATTGTTGATACTTAATCACTTTATACCGATTATTTTTAAAGAATATTTTAAATGACCTAAAGAACTCGACAGGTTCACCACTCATGCCGTTGATGAAGTAGTATAAGGAATAAGTAAAGGAGGATGCGAACGATATTAAAAATGGAGAAGAGAAGGAGTGAGAAATATTAAGATAGAAGGAGAGGATGAATACTACAATCTAATTTATTCTTAAGAATTTTGACTAGTAATTGATTCTCATCAAAAGAGAAAAAGTATGGGACAGAATTAGAAGGCACTCGTTAAGGAAAACGTTCATCTTGGCGTGACAGCACGTTTATAATCCCACTTATTGTTCATTATCGCTTTCTTAGGCGGCTAGAATGATGAAGAAGGTAATGTCAATTCACTAACTTTCGATACATGAAAGCTTTATAAAATTGATCGTGGAAAATAAACAAGTCCTTTAACGAAAAAAAAATTATATATTGAGGATAATAAAATAGCTTACAATCTATGGATTCATTAATTTAATAAAAATTTATTAATTATAGCTTGATTTAAGTAAATGTTCGAAATTATTTTATTTTATCATTGTGCGTTTCAATAGTGGCGTGCATGTCGATCATTTTTAACAAGCAAACATATTCATATGCTTTGCTTACACGAACGTTATAACGTATTTTTCTACATTAAAAAAAAAATAAAAATAGTAACTTAGAAAAAGATCAAATGATCCTACGACGACGAACATTAAATGTATCTAGTTTAAATGAATTTTTTTTTCGCGTTGCATTCATCATGTGATTTTTCATTGATTGTCTCTATTTAGCTTCAAATTTTCCATGTTTTTGGATGTATTAATAAAGTAGATCATAAGTAATCTTATACATAATGAATTTTTTAATGTAGATTGGAAAATTGGGGTAATTAAATTTAAGTTTGACTAGTAAAAAAATACAAGTAAAATTAAGGGATCAGCCGATATGAATAAATAAATAATTTCATGAATAGCGTTTAAATTAACAACATTAATTCTTATTATTATTATTAGAAACAGTTTACTGCGGAAGCGACGATGATAGAATAAGGTTATTAAAAAGGATATAAAAAGATTTTTGTTGATCACAATTTAGCAAATTCGAAAATTAACTTTATATGGTTAATTTGATTCATACTAAATATTATTTTGCCAATCATCTTGTGTCAACAGGTCCCAAAATTCTAAAAACAAACATTTTTAAAAGTTCTATAAATTTTGATTATTAAAGCAAAAAAAATTTCTTTCTTCTAACAAAATAAAAAAAAAAAAAAAAAATGAGACACCTATCGACTTTGTTTTTAATCATAACCATCACACTTTCTTTTTTTTCATATGAAACGTATTCAATATGTATGGATTTCCATGACCCAATGAATTTCGGTAATTCAACCATTGTTGACTGTGCTCTCAATCATGACGATACAAATCTTGACACTAGCATTCAGTTAAACGACAACAGTAATCTAATACAAGTGACTCTTGATTGTCAAATATATGATCAAAAAACATGTAATAAAGTTGAAAATACATTTAAATTGGCGGGAGAAATCATTAATTACGCTCTTGTGCTTAATACGCCCATCATCGTTGATGCCGTATTTTTCCCAATGGGGAGTTCAAACGTATTAGGAGGAGCAATTGCGTCCAGATTATTTTCAATAACAGATGAAGATAATACGGAAAGATTATATCCTCAAGCATTAGTTAAACAATTGAGATTACCAATTTCGGTGCAATACGCTAGTTCAGATATAAAAGCGAGATTTAATTCATTAAAAGATTGGTATTTTCCTGACGATGAAGGACCAATACGTCCAGATCAAAATGATATCTTAAATACAGTTTTACATGAACTTATTCATGGTTTGGGATTTTTTTCAAGTTGGAAGAATTATATTGACGCGGAATTACAAATTCCAACGAGCGGTTTGACACCTCTCATAAGTTATAATTCTAACATTACGACTGACTTACCAATTGGACCATTTGAATTCATGGGATTTTATGAAACCATATTTGATAAATTTATTATAATTAACAATGATGGTAAACAAGATAAATTATCCACGTTAGCCAATGAGTTAAATCAATTCTCTGGTAGAAACAAACAATTTAATTTATCAAGCTTTAATAATGAATTCCAGAATTCTCCACAATTTGAAGCGGCAAAGAAGGTGTTGTCGTTAAGCACGGTAAAAAATTCGTTAATATTTATGGCAAAGGGAACCAAGAAAACTAAAGATGGATTTGTATTAGAGACGAGTTTAGAAACTTACGCAGCAGGCTCTAGTATTGTTCATGTTGACTTTAATAAGTATTCTCATGATTCAGATTTCTTGATGATATATAATAGTGTTGCTGGTGTAACAATGAACGAATTAATCATAAAATCTGGGAATCGTACTGGAAGCGCTATCGGACCGAAATTGCTTGGGGCACTTAGTTCAATCGGTTATACTTTAGCCGACAATCCAATAAAGTCATCAACTATCACGATTTCAGTTTCAAATACCTTTTCATTAATAGTATCTTGTCAATTATTTTTATATATAATAATTAATCATTGAACTTTGTTTCCTCGGTTTAAAAAATGGGATACTCTTACAGAAAATTTTAAAGTATATTAATAGTTTATATATCAGGTTTTCAATTAGTTAGCTTTTAATAATTTAATTTTAATTTTAGTTTTAGGGTATTGGTAATTCGGGCATTTAATTTTAAAAAAATAATAGCAGATGAACATGGTTTTACACAAATATTTCGGAGGAATAATTAGGTAATTAGAAATTTCAAAATTTTTTTTTTTTTTTTTTCAAATTATTAGATTTATGAATATGAAATTTCGCGCAATTGTTAATCTACAATTGAAAACGTAGATGCATATTTCATAATGTGATTTATTTTTTAAAAATATAATGACAAAATTAGTTATTGTTGAAACGTCCATTATACTTATTAATATTACCCCATTGTAAATCATGATTTTAATAGCAAACCGCCCATTTTACTAAATTTTATAGGTCATTTTTAAATAGAAATTTTTAGATCAAATTATTGGAATTTTTTTTTTTTTTAATTATCGTCAGGCGTTAGGATATTAACAAAAATTTGGAGTAGATATCAGACAAATTTACGCGCTGTTACACCAATTATATTTTTTATTCGGTACTTTTAATAAAACAAACATATGTTTATATTCATTTTTTTTTTTTTTTCCTATTTGAAACTTCAATGTGTGAAAATAATTATTTTATTCCCATTTTTATTATAAAGAATAATAAAATTACATGGTTTCTGTTATCGGTCTAATTTTCAAGATTTTTTTTTTTTTTTTTTTTTTTATAAAAGTTGCGGTAGTTTCGCTATATCTTTATTATGATAAGAGGAAGTTAAAATTACAAAATTAAAATATAAAATTGAAAATTAAAATACAAATCAAAGAAATAACAAAAATCTCGTCTAAACTAATCTAAGACTAATCTAAAGAAGACCGACCTTTTGCACTCCCGCCTAACCTAACTGAAAGAAAAGAACAGAGGGAGTGGTCACTACTGCACCAAAAATTCAACCAAAGAGATCTAGCTGCGAACTCATATATAATAAAATCGATATTAAATTTATTCAATATTAATTTCCCCCCCCCCCCCCCGTATATAGTTGGTGACTCTGTTAGAACTTTAAAGCCATTATTTTTAAATTTTACGATTGTTTGATTTTATTTTTTTGATCTTTGATAATCTTGAAACAAAAAGAGAATCCAATTCATTTATTTTCATTAACTACTTATTTATATATGTAATAATTTTTAGCAAATAAATTTACAGCAGTTCGTTCACATTTTATAAGAAAAAAAAGTCGAATTCCTTTTAAAAATTGTATTAGTAGACCTTTGTAATCTAGTACAGCTTCCATTCTTAGATTTTCATTATGATCTGCGCTTTATGGTACCAAATTTGGTCGTCATTCTATTTGTTTTAATTAAACTTTTTGTTAATAAAAAAAAAAAAAAATGTCAAGAAAATTAAAGCTATAGTACCGAATATTCAAATATTTGAAACTAAATATGAATATTAAATGAATCCAATTTAAAGATAAGGTAACTATCATTTCGAAAACTAGAAATTATTCTTAATATAGAAATTCACTTTAACGATCACGAATATTACCTTATTGTATTAAAATAGTATAAGTAAAAATGAAATGATCAAGAAGATTTAAATTGTGAAGGAAAAACCCACCGGTTGCTAAAAAAAAAGCAACTAAAAAGTTATCCCCGCAGAAACGATATAATTCGAAGGAAGAAAAGAGGAGCAAGATATTTTTTTGAAGATAATCAAACTCTGTGCCACAATGCACGAATCATATTTTTTCTGAAAATATTTCACCACATGTTGAACAATAATTCTACAAAAAATTCACTTTCTATTCTGAGTCGTACCCAACTGTTATCTACTGCTTGAATATATTTTAAAACACATTATTTTTTTTGATCGTTTTTGAAGAATCCAAGTTGAACAATTCTCAAAACTGAAGTTCATCCGCAACTTTTGTAATACATTTATCTAAATAATATTTACACAATTGTAATCAAAAAGCTGGTACCATGCTTTTGTGCTACAAAAAATAAATGCAATAGATATCATCACAGTTGCTATTTAAGCTAAAGAATACTTAATAAATTTCTTTTTTTTTATTTTAGTACTTATTTTGAGTTTTAATCTGAATTAATACAAAGTCATCTGTAATCAAGATATCTGAAATTGTACTTCATATAGAATTTGAATTTTATATGCAAATTATATATTTATAAATTAAAATGACGAATCTATCTATTATCTACATATACTTACTGTACATAAGCAATTAATAAAATTTTTATGATCTTTTTAACCGTTTCTTTTATTTATTTTTCTTGACTAATATAAAAAAATTAACGATTCCTTTTCTCTTTAATTAAAATTTGAAAATATTTATAAAGTTAAGTACTTTTATTTTAAAATTCGTCCACTCAGCTTCAAAGTAGAATAATTATACAGTTAACTCGTAAAGGTGGAGTTCCTTTTCTATTTAATTCCTGCTTTTTAAAAGAATTAAAAAGAAAAAAGTGAATGTGTTTAACATGATCTTCTAAATGAATGATTATTTTTTCGGTTTGAAGGGTAAAAACAAATATGAAAAAAAAGATGAAAACGAAAATGAATACAATCACTTATTTAACTGACGCAGCACCCGATGCGGTTAAAAGGCCTACATGAAAATAAAATAAAACAAAAAAATAGAGTAAAAAAATAAACTTAAAAAAAGGACTAACTTATTTGCCGAAAACCTGAATGAAAATAAAATCGAAATTAAAAAAGTTAAAAAGAAATAGAAAAAATTAAAAAAAAAAAAATTATTAACAATTCAAATGAAACTTTCAATTGATTCAACAATGAAAAAATTATAAATGAAATAAAAAAAGCTTACGTTATATTTATAAAAATAGAAAAGAAAAACTTACATTAAGCAGCAGCCCGAATGTGATCAAAAGTCCTAAAAATATAAAAGAAAATAATGATAAATAAAAAGAAAGAAGAAAAGAATAAGAAAAATAAATCCTTAAAATAAAGAAAAATCGAAAATTAAGAAAAAATAAAAATAAATAAATAAATATTATAATAAAATTTAAATGCTATAAAATTTAATAAATAAATGCCGAGAAAATATAAAATTATAAATCAGACAGTTAAGATGTCTGAAGTTGAAAATCAGATAACAAAAATGTCTGAACTCAATCAGATCACAACACTCGAACATAATTTTATATATTTTTTTTTTATATTGGTGTGAATTGCATAGTATTAGAGGCGCAGCAAATAAAAAATTTCAATTAAATTTAAGTGAAATGGACAATATTGATATATAGTTTTTCAATATAAACATGTCGCGGCAGAATTACATCGTAACCGAGAAATTTGTCTAAATTTTTTTTATTTATATTTTTTTAATATTTAATAATTACTTAAATTAATGATAATGACATGTTATCCAATAATAAAGATGGAAACAAATATAGAATTTGAGCCTTTAACACAAAAATTAAAAGTTCGGGTTTAATATGGTCCGCAAATTCAAGCCTTTGATATGCATATTTACGTCAATTCTTGCTGTGATATATTTGACTTTTCTGTTTAAAGCGAAAATTTGGAAAATCGTAATAAAAATGATAAAAATATTTTTAATTATTTGTGATAAGTTTATCTTCAAATTAACTTTACATTTTGAAACAAGTATTAAATAAACGGTCCAATAAATTGATTAAAATGATATTATTATCTAAAATTTTTATAAAAGAGTATTAATGATTCATATGAAGTAAATGAAAGTAAATGATATGCTATCTGACAAAAATATTTTGAAGAATGTAATTTTCGTAGCTTTCCGTTCGATATTTACTATTTATCACATCAACGAGAACGACTAAATTTTTGCCTCACGTAAGATTTCCAACACGGTTATTCGAATACCGAAATTTGATTTTATCCATTACGTAATTAATTAATTAATAAATTTTTGGTTGCGTAATATTGTTTTGCTGCGACTTTTTTTTTTTTAACTAATTATTTGTGAAATTAATACATTCGAAAAAATCAATCGAAATAGACAATTAAATTGGGGCTAAAAAGATTGGAAAAAATATAAACTTTCTTATCAAAGAAGGAAGTACAAACGATTCAAGCAAAAAAAGGAATTGAGATATGAGTGACTTTTTTATTACTATTATTATTTTTTGACGAAATATAATACGCCAAAATAACAATAAAATATGGTAATACTTAAAATAAATAATGAATTTCGGAAATGTCAAAGGTCATTGAAGATAAACCACTTACCTTTTTAGACAGACTATAATTGTTTTAACTATAATTCTTTTTTAACTGAACATATCAATAACGAAATTTTTTTTAAATAAAGAACGTCATTTATAAGAACAGCAATGATTTATCCAAACATTTTGTTTACCTTATTGCTTTAGCACAAATTTGAATTCATTTTACATTCCCGTGTTACAAGAAAAAAGGACATTCACGAATTCTATAACCGGTTAAACCACAAATATGTCCCGCATTATCGTTAATTTCTCATAATTCAGGCCGAAATGATAATGACGATGACGAGATTTTATTCATTTGTACTACTATATTTACCTATATAAAATGCATAATTTTCAGACAAAAAAAATACTTCAAAAAATAAATTTACTCAAAAATGTGATATATATCTACATAATATTAAGACGCATACAAAGGAATAACGATAATGCCACAACAGTTTCTAAATACCAACATCAAATCGCGTTTAGTCGAGATGGGAAATTCGCTGTTACGTTCGATTCTGATAATTTTTTCTTAACAACTTCCAAGTATTTCTGTATTTTAATGACAAATCATTCAAATTAAAAAAAATACATTTTTTTTTTTTTTGGTCTGTAATGAACGTTCAATATTACTCAATTTTAGTAAATTATTTGGTTAAAGTTTTGGAAAATACAGATTACCGAGATTACAAGAAACAGAAAACTCATACATCTCAAGAAGACTTAGAACAAAATGAAACCGATGTAACCGATGTAATCAATAAAACTATAACTTCTTTTAAAATAAATTATGATTTAACTTTTAATAACTTCGGAAATCTCCGAGAAAGATCAGATAATGTTCCGATCGAGGAAAACAAAAAATTTAGATGGTCATTGGATATATCTAGCATAAGAAAGTATCGTGTTGGAAGTTTTATTTTTGTTGCAGTATCCCGCATAGACGTTGAAAAAGATATGAAAAAGAAAAAAGGAAAGATACGACATGTGTGAAATATAAGAAAATTAATGTGGAGGTGCAAATGAAAAAAACTAACTGCAGCACATCACAAGAAAGTGTTTTTGTGAAATTTCTTGATGAAGGAACTGCAATTTATTGTCTTAGATTAAACGATCGTTATGAAATTGACACTAATTTTATTCGAGCTTATCATTTGAAACATTTGTCGGGAATTTGTAGATTTGTAGAAGATGTTAAATAAGAAGTTAATGGTGATTATATATTGAAAAGTTTCATTGTAATGAACATTAATGGATTATATAACTTTGAATATAATGTGAGCGGTAGATGTTTTAATAATGAGAGATTTTGCTATCCAAAGATTTTCGAGGAAGAATTAAAGGATTGGTATGCAGATGAAGATATACCGGATTAAATGGATCGTCTTCTTTAAATATTTTTTGGTCAAATATTATAAAAACAACGTACAATTTCTTGAAGGTAAATAATAATAAAAAAAATCTATTTATATATCGAATTTTTATTAACAAAATCTATATTTTAGTATTTGACCTGGTAGAGATGAGGTTAGAGATTAACATTAAGAGAACCGAAAGTATGGAGAAGCACATAAATAAGTACAGCAAGTATACTTATTCAATTGATAAGCAAAAATTGCAACTGTGTTGGCAATTCATCTGTTAATCACCGAAGTAATTCGAATACATTATCGTGGATGTAGAAGATATTTTTGTTCTATACTAAATGATTTTGATCTATTTTCAGTTATAATACCAGTAATAGTGATCACAATATTACTTGTTGACACATTTCATTTTCCAATGGCTTTGAAAATGTTAAGAAAGAAATAGTTGTTGGAATATCTTTCTCAATGCTAATAATTTGGATTGAAACTGTAAGTATTTCATAACTTTCACTAAAATATTTTATCAATTTAATTAAAAATTTTTCTTAAATTCTAGACTAAATATCGTCATCTAATATCAAGTAAGAACAGAAGAAAAAATGTTATAAAAAAAAATAAATGCTTTTTATCACTGAAATTTTGCAAATAATATGTATATATTTTTTACTTCATATATTTATTATGTTATCATAATTATCCAATCAATACTTCCTTTCTAATATTTATATTGATTGTAATTTTTACATTTGCACATACAATGTATGAATCTTTCTTAATGGAATGGTTTGGTTTTTGTTTTATTTAATTTGGATTAATTTTATTATTTAAATCGTATATAGGTTTTTATTGCTTAAAGATCCAAATCTATCAGGGATTAGAACAAAGAATTCTACAATTAGTGGATATGCCATAAATAATTCAACGAAAGAAATACTTTTAATTAACCTCAAATCGAATTTTAATTCTACAGATCTGAATGATAATCCTTTTGCTTTCTTTTCAACTTCAATAGAAGCTGCATATTTTTGGATTAATGGTGATTATGTTCAAAGGGGTCTATTTGATTCTTGAGTTGTCAAAGTATTTACTTTTATGGCTAGCATATTTATTGTGATTATTTTACAAAATATGTTGATTGCTTTCATGGGGTAGGTTTTTATAATTTATGGTTAAAATTGTTTATTTGACATTTTTATTTATTTATTTCGTGTCGACTCTAGTGGTGTTTATAAAGAAGCAGTAACTAAAGGTAGACAAGCTTTATTAAGGTATAGGGCAAACCAAATAGCAGATTATGAAGCTTTATGTCACTTCCATCTTTGGCCTCAAGAACCAGATCCAAAATATATTTATTACATCGGTCAGTCAATAAATTTTGAAAATTGGCATAAATTAGAAAAGACGATCAAGATGCCATTTACAAGGATTTGAAGAGCCACCCACATTTATTAAAAATGCTTTTAAAAGATCAACTTATGAGGAATATTCAATTTGGAAATTTAAAAATAAAAATGGGAATGATAAAAAGGGATAGTCTGCCGAAATAATCCTTGCAAATGATGAAGGTCAGGTAGATGTCGGGAAGTCAGATGATACATCAAGAAAAAATCAGGTAGATATTGGGAAGTTAATTCAAGAAGTTGAGAAATTGAAGATCAATTTGAGTTCCATTGAAGGGATTCTCAATGAGATTATAAATCAAAAGTTCCAAGCATAATATTTTTATTTTTATTTTTTCATATTATTCTTACGATTATTACTTAAATTTATTCTTTTATTATTGTACTTTATATATACTCTTCGATTTTGAAATATATGTCTATAATCGTACTATAAAACTTGATGCGAGCAAATCTCATGTTTTGGGGGAGATCTTAATTTTAACGTTTCGATTTACCTTATGTAATATGTATTAGTTATTTACCGCGAAATCAGATGTCACAGCTGCCTTTCTGAAATTTCTTTTTTAATTTCTTTAATGTCTTTGTTTTTCATATTAAAAATTAATTTTCTCCGCAGCCGTGACCCTGATGATGTCGGCGATTGAGCGGTAAATACAGTCCCCGGCGAAAAGAATGGCGGAGACAGTTTTCGACAGTATGTATAAACTTTATTTTTAATGTTTATTTTTATTTTTTTATTTAAAAGAATAATACTA